AAAATGAGTCCCTGGAATCTCAACAAGATTAATACCTCCTTCAGAGTGAAATCAGTCGAGTTAGAGGGAAACACTGATTTGAATCCCATCCTCTAAAGGAAGTAGAAATTATTAGTCAATTCCTAAGAGCCTTTGGGCTTATGAGTAATTGAAATCACTTATGCCCACTCACTGGCATCTTCCCCTGACTTCCTGCAAGGACACCAAAGGGAGATTTACGCTCAACCTCGGAAGCCAAGGGGAGATAAGGTCAAGCAGAGAAAGAAAGTCTTCTAAAGGAGGCAGGCAGGTTTGAGGCTTCAGTGAGAGTATTATTATTTAACAAGAGCCCCAGAGATATCATAAGACAGCAGGACATAAAGTAGCCCTGAGTCAGTGGGTGACAGCATTTTCAGTTACAAGTTAAGAGACAGTAGAGTTAGAGGTACCAACACATTTGGCACATAAGACTGGCTGTGTTATTAACAATGAAAGAGAAGGTTTAAATGACTCTTTGTTGAAACTTTCCAAGATTTGATTTTTATGAAAACCATTAGAGAATATGAGCTGATGGGGAGAGGACAAACATAACCCAAGCAAAGAGGGATGACTCAACTCATAAATAAGGGAAAAAGACAAATGGATGAAGATGAAGAGAAAACAGCAATCTCTCATCATTGGCTAGAAGGAGTTAAGAAAAGAGGGAGGAAGGAGAGGAGACACATGGCAGAGTTTTAGTGACCAAAATCCAAGTATGTGACATCTTTCTTAATAGCGGGAAATCTAGTTATGCAGCCAAGCTTAGAACAGCAGGAGAACCCAGTAGGAAGCAGCAAGACAAGGACAGTACAAAGCAAGTCTCACTCATCCTCTGGCCCACAAAAAATGCAAACAGGCTTAGTCTTTGTGCCCATTTTATGAATTAGAGTGGCTTCTTCAAACTTAGTACTGAAAATGAGTCTGAGGCTAAGTCTGGATCAACAGTAGAGTACCATAATCGATTAGTAATATCTGCCATGGGCCCAGGGCTAGAGAGAGGGCACAACTGATGTGGGAGAAAGGAGTGCCCCTTGTGGCCCAGTCTAACTTACCTGCATTCTCTTTATTGGGGTCTAGGGTCAAAGGCCCAACTAACACTAAAGTGAGTCTGTCTTTTATCTTTGTTCTGTACATTCTCTTGGGGATTCACATGAAGAGTAATACATTATGGGTAGCTTATGTTCCTGGATTCCATGGTCCTGAAAAAAATCTAATAGAATCTACTTTTGATCTCCCACATTTTATATGTAGATATTTTTGGAATTTGGGACCTGAAATTTTCCCTTGTAGGGCCAGGTAGGGCTCCCAGAAGTCTCACTGGTTACTTGAGGATTGGGGTGGGGATGCCTCTGTGCAGGCTTCAGTGAGCAAGAATCATTCCCAGGCTTCTGCCCCCATCACCATCCAGAGAAGTGATGTTCAAGTTTCCTGAACTACATTCCAGGACATCAATTATCCTGGACAACACTGGCCCAGGCCAGGAGGGCCTAGGGGGACATAATGACTTGAGATGACATGATGCACCTACACTTAACATTCAAGTGTCATGTGGGGGATGCTGACATTATCTATCTGGATCTAATCAGTGCTTTTCCCTCTGACAGCCAGAGATAGATGTTCAGGCATCCATGTGAAAAGCTCCTTGGCATTAAAGTAGATTGAGTATTGATTTTCATTTATGGATTCAGAGGTCCCCCTCTAGGAGACAGGACAAGGAATCTACGTGGCAGACTCAACAACTTAACTACAGAGTGACCTTTCTCAGAATGACAACTCATGCTACATGGCCTGAGTCTGAGTACAAATAGAACAGCTTCCAACTGCCTTTGGGTCAGAGCTCATTTTATTTTGTTCATAAGAACATATAAATCAAGACCTTGCTCAAGTGCTAAGTACTGAACTGGGTCAACAAAACTTTGGTTTTGTTGTAATGTTTGCACTTTGTCATCAAGAAAACAAAGATTTTTTTCAAGATAAAATTACAAAGTTGAAAGGCCCACATAATTATTTGTGCCTGTATATAATCTCCTTTCCTATATAACATCTATTCTGAGGGCAGCACTGTGGAGCTCATTTCTATGTTCCCCATGTGTGCATAGTAGAGATGCTTGATAGAACTGTTAACTTGAAAAGATGAGTTTCAGTGCTGAGTAGTGGAGAGAGCCCTGTACTTGTGTTTGAATTTGCTTCTTGCTATATTCCTAGCCCTAGAATAAAACCTGGTAGAAGTTCTTACTAGCAATATGAACACTATGGTTATAAGCAACATTTTAACCTGTCTGAGCTCAGCTTTTGTAAGTAAAATGGGAGTAAGTATGTCTACACTGCTTCACGCCTTTGCTCCATGTAGCTTACTCCTCTAGGAACATCTTAACTCAATCATTTCAAAACCTTACTTGGGGTCACTTTTTCTTTGAAGCTTCCCTTGCTTGACACCCTGTTGTTCCCTAGTAAGAAATGACATCTCCCTCCTTTGGGCTCTGCTAAATCCCGTAATCAATTCGATCAAAGCACCTACAAGCCCTTTGTGACGTTTATGTATTCACAAGACTATCCACCTCTGCTAGACAGCGATTTTCTAGAGGGAAGGAACTATGTCTTATTCATTCCTGTATGCCCAATGCTGAGAACAGCAGAAACTTAATATATAATTTCTGAAAGGTTAAAGGAATGAATAACAAAGGACTATAATCAGCAAAGTGATGTGATTCATTTGAGGTTTTAAAAAACTCCCCATTATAGGGGAGATGGGCTAGAGTTCAGAGAGGGTTAGGAAAAAAAGCATCAAGACTCTTTGGGGTTCAGACACTGTCTCCAGAATGCTTCTGTTATCTTCAGAGGTAATCCTGGGTCATACAAGCCATTACCATTCCCCAGTACATTATTTGAATGCTGAGTCTGCAGAACCTAAGACACAGAGCACGTGTCCTGTCGGGGTCCAGGATGGGGTAGAGAATGCTGCAGCATGATGCCCTCTGGAAGGGATCAACCTTGGTGAGGGTCCTGGAGTTGTGGGGACAGCACCAGGCGAGACCCTTCATCCACTGCACAGCTCTTCCAGGGCCCTTTGGAAATTCCTTATGCTCAAGGGTAGGTAGTTAAGATGGACCTGCTTTTCAAAAAGTCAGTCTTTCATTTGGGTCCTGAGAGCCCCCAAAGCTGAATGAGATGCAGGGGGTTACCAGTGCCCAGTGCTGCCTGGGGAAAAGGGGGACCCAGCTTGTGAGGCAACATCCAGTCCTGTCCTTTGGGGCCCAGTCACAGAGGCACAGATGTAAGCCCAAGATAATGGAGGGCTTGGGGAAGAGGGTGGTTCTTGTTCCAACTATTCTCCCAAAGACCAAATGACTTAGATGCTCAATTCTAAAGTAAGGACTAACGTGACCTTTCAATAAACTGCACTTAATTAAAGCACCCAAATTGATGAGTTTTGACAGATTTACATACTCCCTGCTAAGTACTGAACTCTGCCCACCCAGAATTCTTACGTTAAAGCCTTAATCCATCCATGTGACTGTATTTGGAGATGGGGCCTACAACGAGGTAATTAAGGTTAAATGAAGTCATAAGGGTGGGAACTTGACACAAGAGGATTGGCATCCTTCTAAGAGGAAGAGACACCAGAGCACTCTCTCTTTTTTCCTTCTGTCTGTACTCTGGCCTCTCCACCCCACCCCCGTTCTCTCCTGTCCTCTCTCTGTCACTCTCTCTCCAACATGTGAGTGCACAGTGAGGAGGTGACCATCTAAAAGCCAGAAAGAGAGCCCTCACCAGAACCGACCATTTTGGCACCCTGATCTCAGACTTCCAGCCTCCAGAACTCTTAGAAAATAAATTTCTGTTGTTCAAGCCACCTAGTCTATGGTTTTTGTTATGGCAGCTTGAGCTAAGACACTCATAAAACCACCACTATAGTCACGATACAGAACAATTTCACCCCAACCCCCAATTTTTTATTCTTTTTACAAAAGACTGAAAAACTTTAAACTTGAGACTAGGAAAAGATGTCTGCTGTAGGGAAAAAAAAAAACAAAAACACACAATCCTTTCCAAAATGCCCCTTGAATTATTTTGTTGCCTGTAATGTCATAATGCCAAATTTTAATGATGAAAAAAAGCCTTTATGCAATTAAGGTGGAGAATTGACAATAATTCAGCCCTGAGTATCCAATTATGCTGGGCACAGTCCCCAGCTCTGAACTGGTTCTGGTAACCCACGTATTTTCCAGCTAAGGCGTGATAGCTGTTTATCAAAAGCAGCAAGTTATCTGAATATAGAAAATTCCAGAATGTTGAAAAGAAATCCTTTGATGCTTTCTGGTCTCTTCCTTCCCTAACTTCTCAGGAGTCAAATTCCCTTCTCCTCTGGAAACACCTTCTCAACCCTTGACACTCCTCCCTCAGTCCTTCCCGGGCAGTGTCAGCGCAGCTTCCCCAAGGGGAAGGGCCTCCTGTGGTTCCCTACTGTGTCCCGGCCAGACGGTGTCCAGCAAGAGGTGCCGCAGAGGAAATGTTTCTGGAACGCATCCCAGATTAAATTAAGTGAAAAGGAGGTGACCAAAGGAATGGCAGCCATGTGAGGCTGTAAATCTTGATGTTTAATGCATATTAAGACAGCCTAGAATGTCATCTAGTAAATTGTCTTTTGATTTTTATGAGATCTCTGGGCAAGCAGGGCTGGCAGAGCAGAGAAATTATTCTAACCGCCTAGAGGAAATGGCCTGACTGCTGCATCACAGAATCAAAGGCCCCTCTCTAGTAGAATCCACACTTACAGCTCCAGCTCCCATCTGCCCTGTATGTACTTGATGGTCCAGATACTATGACTGAGTATTAGAATTTAAATCTATGTGTGTTTTGTCTCTACTTTTCCCTATGTTGTTGCCCTTTGTAGAGTCAAACTAAAACGGAGTCACTTATGTCAGGAATAAAATGCAGTTGGCCAACGCAAGCACATTAAAGAAAATTAAACTTAACCTTACCTAATGTAAGTTGTAGGAATTTACAGCTCTCCTCAGAGATCAGTAGAGGACGCCAGCCAATTCACAAGCGCCAACTCTGTTCACACCACGTCGGGACTTCCCTGCTCCCCGACTCAGCTACTGATCCAAATAAGACCACCAGGCAACCAATCTGCTGAAAAAGCAAAAACTGGCATTTACCCATGAAAATCCCTTACTCTGTGAGCAACTCAGAACTCACTGCCCCCACAGCCCTGAGCTTCCTAGCTTGTGGGTCGAAACCCTCGCAAAACAAACACACACACACCTCACCTTTCTGCCTTGTTTCACTCGGAGTTTGGTTTTTAATACTTTTCACATATGCGCTTCCCACTTTGCATGTGGTGGCCTCCGACTAAAGTCTTCAAATCCAAGCTCAAAGCCTCCTTTCCTTGAGAGCCTCCCTCCTCGGCGTCCCGCTCTCGCAGCGCGTTGCTGCGTGTCCGCCATGGTCTCTCCCGCATCGCTTCCACTAGCCGCCTCTTGTTTGCCTTTCACGAGCCCCCTGAAGGGTGCTACGGAGTCTCAATCATCTTGTAAACCCATGGCCTAATCCAGGGCTATGTACGTAAAGCCTCTCAATAAACACTTGTAGAGTCTGACTGTCCGATAAGCCCTCTCACTCTCCCTCCCAGATGGAGAGAGGGCGGAAGAGGCAGCTCCGTGGTGGGAGGGGCCTGGGCTGCGTCCTGGGTTTAAGTTCCGGTTCATCGTTTATCACCTTCTGTATTCAATTTCCATGGCTGTGGAACCAATTAACACAAGCTGAGCCGTTTTAAACAACACCTGTTTATTATCTCCTGATTTCTGTAGGCCTCAAATCCAGGCCCAGCTGAGTTGGTTCTCTGCTCAGTGTTTACAAGGTTGCAATCAAGGTGAGAGCTGCACTGAGTTCCTTTCTGGGCTCAGGGCTTTCAGGCACGCGAGGTTGTTGGCAGAATTCAGTTTCTTGCAGCTGTAGGGTGGAGGCCCCTAAGGCCGCCTGCATTCCTTCTCACGTGGCCTTCAGCTTCAAAGCCAGCAAGGGAGAGTGTCCTCCATGTCAACCTCTCTCACTTTTCCAATCTCTGCCTTCCTCTGTCTCCAACCTCTCTGCATAGATTTAAAGGATCACGTGATTAGTCAGGCCCGCCTGGATGTTTTCCCTTTAGATTAACTCAAGGTCAGCTGGTAAGTAACCTTAATTACATGTGCACAATCTTTCTGCCACATAACATAACGGAATTAGGAGCGCTATCCCATCATATCTACAGGTTCTGCCTACACTCAAGGGGAGGAATTATACAACGGCAAGATTCAGTGGGTTTATCTTAGAAATCTACTTCACCCCAGGGCTTCAGGCTACATTACAGTTTCCTTAATTGAAAAATGAATAAACTAACCTCCCAGACTTGTGGTGAAGACTAAACTAAATTAAATACAAGAAACAGCCATTTAGTTACTGTAGGTCTCTTCTCCCTGTTTTTTCTGGGCTGTCTGTCTCTTAACTGTTCTCAGGTTATCTAGAGAACAGATACCAGCTGGACAGTATGCCTATGAAACAACTCTATGAGATGTTTAATAACAAATGCAGACTTGAAAAAAAAGATTAACTGATAATGTCCAGTGGTCTGAGTTTTGGAGGGTAGTGATAGCTGAGATCATCCAGAATTAGACCATGCCCCAAGTGAAGATGATTTTATAAAGACAAATCCAAGCTCCTCAAGGAGGTTATTTTATAAAAGGCTTAGACCGTCATTTGTCTTAATAAAACAAAAACATTTGTCCATGGCATTTGAGTTTTAATAAGTTAGATGCTATGATAAAGAAAACCTATGACACTGGGTTTTAAGAAACTAGATGCTCTGAGCCCAGAGAAAAGGATGCTATCAGCTTTCAGGATACAGCTGATATAGGACAATGCAGAGCTGGTCCTCTCAGCTCTCTATCTCAGTCAGTCCTTGCTGCAGGCATCTTCTGCTTGTGCTGACTCCCTGCCCAGCTGCCTAGAGACCTTCACAGTGGTGTCCCACCTGGGCAAGTTCTCCTCCAGACTTTTCTGATTCTTCTCCACAAAGTCCATCACTCCCAGGTTCTACCACTTCAGTGCCTCACTGGGTACCCACATAATCAGGCACAGGAAGAGCAGCAATGTCAGCCAATGGGAACGGCTGAATACAACAGCCTCTTCCTGGTTACATCTGCACTCAACAGAGGCCTTCAGTATTATTCAGCCAAAGAAGACTTCCTTTCCTCTCAGGGTGGGAAGGTAGACCCCTCCGCTTCCCCAAGCGCACAGAACCACAGCTCTCCCCCACTGGAGTGGAAACCTACTGCTTACAGAGCTCCACAAGTGGTAAAGGGCACACCAGTGGCCAGGTCCCATCACTCCAAACCCTGTGAGCCCTAAATACAGAATAACTTGCAGTCCCTCACATGGGTCGTGTGCTTTCTTACCCAAAGTGAATAGTCCTTATGCTTCACCTGGCTCATTTCTACTCAGTCTTCAGGATTTGACTTAGGAGTCACCTGCTCCAGAACGCACTTCCCCGCTGCAAGTCAAGGATTGGTCCCCCTCCTTATGCTTGCACGGCCCCATCACAGTATCTACCACATTGGTGGTGAGACTGCCATATAGGTGGGCTGGCCTGTCGCTCCCAGTAGTTGGCGAACCCACTGACTCTCCAGTAGTGAACCTGAAATTTGCTTAACATTCAAAAAACTTTGAGGAAGGAAGGGAGAAAGGAAAAAAGGAAAAGGAAAGGAAGGATGACCATGAGGATGTCAGACTGATGGGGACATCAGACTAACCGGGGCTTGAGGCAAAGCAGTTGGTTGGGGAACATGGGGGAGTGATGAGGCCTTCGTGAAGGAGGAGCACCTTATATCAGCATTTCAGTCAGGCGTCAAGGGCAGGCATCCAGTCCTGGCCAAGAGGCTCTGCCACGTACTCACTCTGAGATCCTAGATAAGTCTTTCCCCCAGAAAAGTCTCAGCTTCCTCCTTGACTCATGTGTGGTGTAGCTGGATTATCTGGCTTCAGCAATCTATGAGGAGAAGTTTGCTGAGAGTGGTGATGCCCCGAGCCACCAGATACTAAGCATCCTCTCTGCCCAAAGCCTAGTCCTGAGTTTCCTGCTTCTTTGTCTGAGGAAGCTTGTGATTGGGTCGATGAATGAGCTTCCCAAACCTGAAATTTCACCAATTAAGCCTGAAACTCACTGCAGCCCTTAAGTGGCCAAAACCAACCATAGCAAATGAAAACTGACTGGGAATGATCAGGAGATGTTTTATGGGTCAGATCTATCAGTTTCTCCTTAATCTGTTCCATCAGCAGCAATGATGCAGGATTCTCAGGGGAGGAGTCCAAGAGCAATGGAGAGGCGTCCATGCTGGTCTCACTTAGCAGCGTCTGACTCAGTGAATTGGTCCTCATCTGGTGCAAATGCCAAAGTAGGGCAGTTTTGGGGCAGAACATGGGTTGTCAGGGTTCCATCAAGCCAGGGAAGGAGTGTAGCTGGCCCACCCTCTGGTCTGACATCCCTCGGAGAAGAAGCGCTGCAACAAAGCAAGTGGTTCAATTCATGGAGCTGAAAATGCCTAGTAAAAGGGAGTGAGAAAGTAAGCTGGGGGACAGGCTCTCAGATTATGTCATTCACTTTTGCAAATGTTAGTTATAAAACATAGATAAAACACGGGAAAATGTTTTTAAGATAGTGCTAAATGAAAAAGCAAGCTGTAGATTTGTATTTGTAGTGTGGTTATAATTAGGCAAATGAACAAAAGCAAAATTCACAGAAAACTCTGTATAAAGACAAACAATAGCATAGAGATCTCTGGCAGGTAGAATGATTATCCTTCAAAAATTCTATTTTCTCCACTTTTCTGACTTTCCTGAAAAGTGCCTATATTTTATGTTGCTATGATTAAAAATAATCATCTGACAAAGGGTTCTTCAAGGCCATTTGCTTCAGTGGCTGCCAAGCATGGTTCTTCTGTGTGCCCAGCAGCTGCTCCAGCATCTCCAGGGAAGCTCATTAAATATGCAAGGGTCTAAACCACACCTCTAGAAATCCTGACGAGGCAAGCCTGGCATTCGAGCAGGAATCTGCATTCATTAAGTTAAAACTAAAAAGCTGGCCAGGTTATTCCAAAGTGGACCCAGAGCTGTAGGTTCTAGTGCAGCTTGTCTTTGCCGAATGAGGAAACAGGCCCCAGAGAGAGGAGTCACCTGCCAGGTACATGACAGAAACAGGACTGGAGCTCAGTACCCATTCTGGTGGAGCACAGTGGACTGGGTAATTAGACACAGATTGTGAGATATGAGAACTCCGTGCTCCTTCTGTGTTTCTTGGCATTGTATGATGTGGCTCCAAAGGCAGACCTTTCTGGAATGGCCTGACTGGTGAGACTGCTTAAGAATGCTTACTGGAGTAAACATGCTCTTCTTGTGACTTTTTACGAACAAAGGCACCCGGCCCTCGGGATTGGAAATGTTGATATGGAGGATCTGGATAAAAGGGCTCTGGTTCTGCCCTCTTTCCCTAAGGGCTAGCATTATAATGTCTGTTGATTTTGGCCTTCAAGGCAGAAAGTAGAATTGCTCATGCTCCTTTGATATGCAAGGTTGCTGTGTCTAAATGGGATGCCAGAAGGGCAGGCTGGCCCCAGTCTTCTGGCCAGAACTCCGCTCCTTCAGGGGCTAACCTTCAGCCTGGGAGAGAAGCAGAAAGGGCAGGAGTGGGGAGAGACGGCCTCAGAGATGCAGCAGCAGTCAGAGCTGCCGACTCAGTTCTGCACATGCTCCTAATAATTACACCACATGCCATTCAGCCAGGGCCTTTCTAGCAGGGGCCATCAAAGCTGCCTCCTTCCTTATATATTTCTCATTAAATGATGTCCTCTGAGGTGACAGGTGTCAAACTACATTGTTCTGCCTCCTGTGAACACAACTGCAACTGGATGGAGCTGTCTTCTCACCTCCTGCAGCATAAGCAGCCCCTGCCTCACTGTGTGGAGATCAGGGGGTTTGGAAAACAGCTGGTGTCCCAGCCAGAGTCTCACTCATGTGACTTCAAAGGAAAAAAAGAGTTTATCGTTGGGATATCCAGGGTCTGGAGCAGGGCTGGAGAAAGTCAGGAAGCAGGCAGTTCTAGGTGCCAGAAAGAACAATGATAATGATAACAATAATAATAGCTAATGTGGGAAGACAGGGTTTCCTCTCATCCTCCCCCGACCTCCCTGAGGAAGAGGGTGTCTGTGTTAAGACAGTAAAAAGACAGAAGTTTTGCTGAAAGGATCCCAGTCCCCAAGTGGCATCCACACTGCAGCATCTAAAGACCCACTGTAGGCAACCAGAGGAGGGTCAAAATGACCACAGAGCATTTGCAGTCCTTCTCTTGAATGGAGATGAGGGTCCTGAGAAGAGGACTGAGGCTTGGCTCAAGAGCATAAGAAGAAAGACTCAAGGGCAGGGTGACTGGAAAACACAGGGAGAGAGGAGTCTCCTGGGCAGACCTCCAAGACAGACTTTATATCGCAAGTGGATCAGGGGGAAGGTCAAGAAATATTTTGCACCACCATCCAAATTCAGTGTGCTTCATCTATGTTTCTTTTTGGTGATGGGGTACCTACCTGTCATTTTTGACCTTACAGGTAAACTGAGGGGGTTACATAATACCATTTAAGCACCTAATCTTTTAACATTTGCTTAAAATTGGTTCAAGTTCCAAACCTAAGTGTACTAGTAAACTTACAACCTCCACCACCACCTCTACCATCACTACCAATTCATATGGAAATTCCTGGAAAGCACTGCACTGCACTGCACCTGGACACCTACTTAAACCCTCTTCCTTTCTCTAAGTTAACTATCAAATTCTGGCATCTCACAGCATGAACCATCAATCCCCTGCACATCAGTCTTCCCTCAAACACCACCAACACACCAAGATCTGCATACTCTACATTTTTAAAATTAATAGACTTTATGTTTGTTTCACAAAAAAAATTGGGCAGATAATAGAGTTCCCATATTCCCCCTCCTCCCTATACATCTTAGATGAATGGGCTACATTTGTTACGATTAATTAACATATACTGATACG